TTCATTCTTTTGAAACACACAAGAGCCCCAGGTGGTTTTATACATTTCAAAGGCAGAACGCTGTGCAGCACTTCCACCTCTGAAATGTGGCAACAGCCCATTGAGCTCGCTAAATTTCAAAGTGAAAGCACCTGTATTGACTAATTCTATCGACTATTCAATTAGTTGATTAATTTAATTTTAACATCCCTACCGTTAAGTTTATCCTTTTGAAACACACAAGAGCCCCAGGTGGTTTTATACATTTCAAAGGCAGAACGCTGTGCAGCACTTCCACCTCTGAAATGTGGCAACAGCCCATTGAGCTCGCTAAATTTCAAAGTGAAAGCACCTGTATTGACTAATTCTATCGACTATTCAATTAGTTGATTAATTTAATTTTAACATCCCTACCGTTAAGTTTATCACCTCAATCTGGGACAATTCCTCAGATTTCTAACCTAAAAAGAATGGCTCAGGTTTGGGAATCTCCCCAATATCCTCAGCCATAAAGTCCGAAGCAAAGAATTCATAGTTTCTCCAACATGACTTTCTCATCTTTGAGTGCTCCTTTAGCATCTCGATCATCCAGGGGCCCCACTGGTTGTTTAGCAGGCTTCCTGTTTCTGATGTACTTAAACATTTTGCTATTACTTTTTGAGTTTTTTAGCCAGCTGCTCTTCAAACCCCTTTTGGCTTTTCTTATTATATTTTTACATTTTATGTGACACAGTTTATGCTCCTTTCTATTTACCTCACTAGGATTAACTTCCACTTTTTAAACAATGCCCTTTTATCTCTCTCTGCTTTTTTTTACTTGGTTAAGCCAAGCCACAGTGGCACTTTTTTGGATCTCTTACTGTGTTTTTTATTTTGGGGTATACATTTAAGTTGGGCCTCTCTTATGGTGTCTTTGAAAAGTTTCTATGCAGCTTGCAGGGATTTTACTTTTGTCCTTTAAGCTTTTCAAATCCACATACACTGTTCATTTAAACATCACAGGTCTGGATAGAAAGAATAGATGGAACACTCTTCAGAGCGCATTACTATTACTCTTTGACTAGCTAACAAGCATTACTTAAGATGCCTTTAGGCTTGAAACTTGAGAAGCATGCAGGTGAGACCAAAAAATGCATTAGCACATCTCAATAAAAGATGTAATTCAGTCATTGCCATGGCCCAGTAATATAACACATCACAATTGTACTAAATCTTTCCTCTGAAGAGGCTGGTGGAGAAAAGATACTTACTGTGAGTCATTTCCACTGTTGTCTTCATCTATTATCCCAGGCACAATTTTCCCTGCAGCTCTGCTGATTTCCCTAAAACAGGTGAAAACACTAATCTGATTAAAGATATATGGATTTGCAACAACATTACCCACAGGTTTATATATTCAAAACAATTACCTATTCAAAACTCCATTGGAGACCAAGGCTTCCTTAGGATGAAAGTATTTGTAATATACATTTCTCACCACAGCATCTTAAAAAAATAGAAGACATTTAAATCTTTTATCGAGGCAGTGCGTCTAGCACTTAGAATATAAGATTGGAGGTAATGAGATGTGGGTTCAATTCTATTTTTAATGCTATAGCCCTGGGGTTATTTGGTTCTCAGTGTAACTTGTAACAACATCAACTGATAGCCCCCCTTTTAGATCTGCAGCTTCAGGCATCTAAAGACAGTGGGAACACTTACTTAAAAATTAAGATAAAGATAGGCAGACACTTAATGTTCAGGCACACTCATGCTTTCATTTCAACTTGCAATTATTTGCAAGCACAGACAGAGAGGTCAAGTTAAAAAAAAATCTGGTTGAACAAGTTCAAACCTTTATATGTCTTAGATATTTCCAAAACTATGATGAACTCAATACCACGCCAGTGCAAAATATAAATGAAGCCACTATCTGCCACCAAAACATCTGAAAAGTGTCTTTTTTGGTGAGGACACACTACTTATTTACACTTAGATATTGCAAAAACAGCTGACTGGAATTTTATGAGGCTGCCAAAAACTAAACACTGTTAGGTTGAAAATGACACTAAGCGAGGGGGAGAACTCAGAGGAGAGGTAGGTACTTTGGAGGGCAGGGATAGGGTCCAGAGTGACCTAGACAGATTAGAAGATTGGGCAAAAAGAAATCTGATGAGGTTCAACAAGGACAAGAGCAGAGTCCTACACTTGGGACGGAAGAATCCCAAGCATTGTTACAGGCTGGGGACCGACTGGCTACGTAGTAGTTCAGCAGAAAAGGACCTGGGGATTACAGTGAATGAGAAGCTAGATATGAGTCAATAGTGTGCCCTTGTAGCCAAAAAGGCTAATGGCATATGAGAATACATTAGGAGGAGCATTGCCAGCAGATCTAAAGAAGCAATTATTCCCTTTTATTCAGCACTAGTGAGGCCACATTTCAAATATTGCATACAATTCTAGGCCCCCCACTACAGAAAGGATGTGGACACATTGGAGAGGAGCCAGTGGTGGGCAACCAAAATTACTAAGGGGACTGGAGCACTTGACCTACAAGGAGAGGCTGAGGGATTTGGGCTTATTTAGTCTGCAGAAGAGAAGAGTGAGGGGGAATTTTATAGCAGCCTTCAACTTCCTGAAGGGAGGTTCCAGATGGAGAGAGGCTGTTCTCAGTAGTGACGGAGGCAGAACAAGGAGCAATGGTCTCAAGTTATAGTTGGGGAGGTCTAGGTTGGATATTAGGAAAAACTATTTCACTAGGAGGGTGATGAAGTACTGGAATGGGTTACCTAGGGTGGTGATGAAATCTCCATCCCTAGAGGTTTTTAAGTCTCAGCTTGACAAAGCCCTGGCTGGAATGATTTAGTTGAGGTTGGTCCTGCTTTGGGCAGGAGGCTGGACTCCATGATCTCCTGAGGTCTTTTCCAGACCTAGGATTCTATGAGAATGAGCATGGAATAACTCAGCTTGGTATTTTTTTTCCTTCTAAACACTTAAGGGAAAAAAGGGTTATACTGAAAGTAGCTTATAAATCCTAGTTTATAATAGAGAATTGTATATGATTTGTATTTACTAAGTTCAAGTTACCATTATTGATCATGATTCCATATTCTTCTAACAAGAAGTTAATATTGGTGTCGTAGCGGGATTCACCACCTTCCCCCAGCATCACTAGGATATCCCCACCCTCTTCTAGATATTTCTTCAGAACCTCAAACTGAAACAGTAAGATGGGAAAAAAACAAAAACAAAAAAAAACACAAGATCACAATCAGAGGAGCTAAACATAGTATTCCAAAGGGCTGTATGGAAACAAGGCATAAGTGGCATCAACTACTTGCAACCAACTTTACTCTAGAAGATCAAGAAGCATTCAAAACAAAATATATGTTTAAAAAAAGGTTTTCACGCTACAATGCTATTATAGTGTGTTCTGGGTTGTCTTTCTTCTTTCCTCCTAGGCAAATCTGAAAGCATAATTAATCTACAAACCATTGTGGGCTTTTTTTTCCCCCCCCTTCTTTTTTATGAATATTTCTTACCTCAGCTGCAGTGAATTTCTCTCTGGGACCTGCTGTAATCCACAATTTTACCCCAGTTAACTTCTCGGATGTGATCTCATCTTTTAAACTATGAATAAGTTAATAAAGAGACACATTACATTGTAATTTTAGATAAAGTTTGACTAAATCCTGAACTAGGGAGAGAAACACAAAGTAAGTCTCTTCAGTCAGTCACTTTACATCTGGTTTTTGAAAATGATAGTTTATTATAGGAATGTGAAGGACTAGTCCACAATCGGATAAGCAAATCTTATTGGATTGTCGACAGGACAGTCGACTAGTCACTTCCCCTCCTCTTGCTGCTTCTATCACAAAGAGGCAGTAAGGAGGGGGAAAATGAGGGGATACTTCAAAGCAGCAGCACCGCTTGAAGCCTGGGGCCAGACCCTGGGCTCCACGTGATGCTGCTGCTTTGAAACGCTGCGGGGAGCTTGGTGTCAGGGCTCCTCACCACATTTCAAAGTGGCAGCGCCGTGTGCAGCCCAGAGTCAGCTGGGGACTCCCTTGCTGAGCCTGGGCTCCATGCGCCATTGCGCCTCAGGCTTCTCGCAGTGTTTCAAAGTAGCAGCGCCACATGGAGCCTGGGATCAGCTGGGCACTCCCTCGCTGACCCGAGCTCCATGTGGTGCTGCAACTTGAAAATACCATGGAGAGCCTGTTACTACACTTAAAAGGCGGAGCCGCCCTATCAACTAATCAAATAGTCTATGCAAAAATACATCAACTATTTGATTAGCCAGTTAGTTGAGATTTAACATTCTTAATTTATTATTCCACACAAATGACAAATTTGAACTGATGAAGAAAAATAAGTATTCTAGAAAGTATTGGGACAGATCCACAGCTGATATAAATTATTGCAGCTCAGTTGACTTCATTAGAGTTATAGCAATTTACATCAGCTGATGATCAGCCCTACTTTTTATTTTTCTGTGATTTAATTCTGATGACAGCAGATGGGTGACCAATACCATAAACTTGATGCACAAAGGCTAGAATTTAAATTATTTTGATATTTTTGCCTTTAGATACTCCATGCAGTGCAGATTAGCATACACACACCTAAAACTTCACCATTATCAGCTAAGCTCTGTCCTCTCCCTTCCCACACTCTCTCAGAATAAAAGTTCTCCAACACCAAGCAACAGCAGAATTAGAACTAATGCAATGAGGTAGAACCAAAGAAAACAATCCTTCTAACTTTCTATTAACATTCCCAAACATTTCTATGTTATGAGTTAGTGCTGAAATGGTCTCATCTCCAATTATCTAACTTGTTAATGTCACAAAAGACAGGCTTATGCAGCACTTTAAAGACTAACAAGATGGTTTATTAGGTGATCAAATTGATCTGAGGAAGTGGGTCTGGCCCACGAAAGCTCATCACCTAATAAACCATCTTGTTAGTCTTTAAAGTGCTGCATAAGCCTGTCTTTTGTTTCAGCAAGACCAGACTAACATGACTACATCTCTATTACTATTGTTAATGTCAGTTTCACTCTTGTGCTACAAAGCAGGAAAAAGAAAACTGAAGAAAAACCCCTCACCTCTGTATCTTCCATTTACTACGAAGCCTCTTCTGTAAGGACTTGTAACCACTGTTGATAGTAAAAATCTCCTTTTTGGATGCATTGAAGACTATAGTATTACGAAGCTCTGTTTCCATAGTGACCTTAAGAATAAAGTTAAGGACAGAACCAAAATCAGAAAGGAAAAGCAAAAAAGGTACTATTTCAGACCAGTCTCTGAAGGAAAGAGCACATTCAGGTACATGCTGGCTGACATGAAATGTGTTAGTGCAGAAATGGAACATCTGAATTAGATTTTAGACCTAATCTCTCTTTGTTGTTACTTAAAAACGTTAATGACATTTTAAACAACATATGGACAGAAATATACAACTAAAACTTGTAAGAGGAAACATCCATAAAGCGATAAAAGGAAAAATCACATATTAATTAGCCCCCACTTTCTCTCATTTTGTTTCTTCAATTATATAGAATAAAAAAGTTGTATAAAATTCCCTAACTGAAAAATCGTGAGAGACTCATTTTCGCGTTTTGGGGTGTTTTTGTGTTTCCAAAGAACAAGTGACACAGCTGATCGAAGCGGTTTGGAAATGAGCTGCACGCTCCCGGGGACAGGCCCCTTGGCGGATTAAGCTCAGGCTGTGTTGGAAGGAGGGTTTTGGGCAAGTTGCGCTACTAACCTGCAGCCGCAAAGGCGCGTTTACCAGCGAGCCCCCCACCCGGGTCAGAGCAGGCTACACGGAGGCAGATCTTGGGGCAACAGGGACTGTGTCTGCGCGCTCTGTACGGGGCCCAGCACAACGGGGCGCTGGCTGGGACTGGGACTCCCACGTGCTCCTGCGATACA